GAAAAATATTACAATTCCTAACTTTGAATAGATAGATGTTTGAAACTGAAAGTAGTTTATACAACAATTTGTTTTAAATTTTTTTCCCTGCAGGTTTTTCGAAAGTTACTGACCAGCCATTAATTTTTCCACCAGAAACCTTGGGTTGAAAAAAAAGTTAAATTAAGTTTACATATAATTTAGATATAATTTAGATATAAAATCAATACCTACATTTATTAGTGACACTATTGTTTAGAGAATACTATTGTTACTATTATAGAATTAATAATATAATTGGCTAAATAAATTGGCTTTGTTTTCTTACACATACATATCCATTCATACAGGTACAAGGTTTGTACAGACGTACAGTATGTGTGTTTTAATAACTAATGCCGAGAACATTTTAATTTCGATAGCTCATACAAATTTATTCACACATTATATAAAATATATACAATCTATATTAAGCGTACAAAGCACAATAAATGTATAATATGGAGATGGAACAAAAAAAAATATTGTTGAGTTTTGAAACAAGAAGTCACCCCTCGGCCCTCACCAATCAGTAGCACTGACTGGGAGTTTTTTAATTATTTATTTAATCTAAATTGGTATACAGTATTTCCCATAAGTCCCTTAATAWCTCCACGGGAAATCAATATATTTAAACGCAGTTTTTTTTAACCTACTAAGTATGGAAATTCTGATTGAATGGCCTAAAATTCATTTTTTTTTTAATTCAAAAAAAATTTTTTTATGCATTTAAGATTAAAAAATTTGTTAGTCATTTTGTTGAACATATTTTTTAAAACAGTTCAAAAAAAAAATATATATATATAAAAATTGACCAAGTTATGTTTTTGAATGATATTATAACAAAAATATTAATTTTATTGTTTCACATTTCAATAATAAAATATCTATTACAGCATGACAATACTTTTACATACCTAATTCAAGTTTTGATTTGAATAGAAATAAAAATAGTCGTGCCTTATCGTTTGCTGAACAGCGAAACTGGTTACCTATTTTTAAGTATTTTAATTATATCATAAAGTAATAGCTTTAAAGAAAGAACACAAGATAATAATTTTAATTATAATTTAGAAAATTGCGATATGCGTAAGTATTGTTATTATAAATCACATTAATTATAACTGTAAGATTATGTCCAATTTTGTAACTTTAGGTTCACTGTTCTATGCTATAGCCATACAAATATCCATTATATTAATTAAGTATTTTAATTTATTTATTACTAATGTTTATAAATTTAATACAAATAAGATGTATTTATTTGAATTTTAAATATAACATTAAATATTTGCCATAAAATACATATATTTTAGATTCTGAACGGAGTGATGAATGTATTGATTTTACAATGATGTTTTTTTTTTT